TCTGGTACTGGAAAAGATCAGTTGTGTCTCTGGAAGACAGAAATTCACCTTGTAGGTAAGTGGGAGGGGTGGTTGGGAAGTGACTTGTAAAAGAGCTTGTAATTGTGTCTGAGATGTCAGTGTGTGACTGTCTGTATTTTCTGATCCATTTGCTGCTCTAAAGATTAACGGGGTTTGAAAACAGTTGTTAATAACCTAGCCATTTGTGGCCCTAATAAATTTTAAGTGCATTAATAGTGGCTGAAATTAAGAGAATTAAAGAACGAGTTAAAAAGCACACTTGACCAAAGTTTACTGAAACACAATTTTATCAAAGAGCTTTAACCTTCTGCAAATAACTGATAAAGTTTTGGAAGCCCAACGCATTTCAAAAGTTATCAAATGAGACTTCTTCCTTCCAACTACATGGTTAGCATGATATACCCCCTCAGGTGAGTGTGGTGGTTAGGGTTAGTGTAAACATGCTTTGCATCTATGAACTAGAAAACATTGCCTAAGATTTTTAGAAACAGTTTATGTAATCTAAATTATCTAGAGCAGTCTTTGTGCATCTTAAAAGATTTTTCCTGCTATCCTGTTGGAATATAAATGTCTTTCAAATCATGGAAGTTATCTTTAGTGTTTTATTCCACAAATGGTCACAGCACATAAGAATTTCTGATAAGAGCCACCTTGGCAGAGACAATGCTTTGTGAACCTCACACACAGAAAGCTGCCTGGTTTTCAACTTTGCTTCTGCAAGTTCTAGCATTTTGCTTTGTAACGACAGCATCAGAAAGGTGTGTGAGTTGTCACTGGCTTTTTGCAACCTGAACCTGGGAGAGTTGAGCATTGCCAAGGAGAGAGGGAAGAGATCAGTTTTCATGTTGCTGGAGTCAGGGTGAGTATGCAGAATGAAAGGAGGTTGACGTTGATGTCTCAACATAGGTATTTATAATCCTGACAGGGTGTAGGAGACATGATAATGGAAGAGTAAATTTCTATTTCATTTGAATGACTGAATTGAAATATTTCTCATCTAAAGATCAACTATCAACGCTCATGGAAGCAGCAGTCAAAATATCAAACGACTTATTGCAATAGGCAAATCTGCTGCACAAGACCTTTTTAAAGTATTGAAGAGCAAAGATGTCAGCTTGAGGACTAAGGTGCGCCTGACCCAACCCACGGTATTCTCAATAACCTCATATGCATGGGAAAGCTGGACAATGAATAAGGAAGACTGTACAAGAATTGATGCTTTTGAGTTATGGTGTTGGAGGAGAATATTGAAACAGCCATGGACTGCCAAAAGAAGTGCAGCCAGTGTTCCTTGGAGGCCAGGATAGCCAAACTTCATCTCTCATACTTTGGACATATTATTAGAAGGGACCAGTCCCTGGTGAACGATATCATGTTTGGTAGGGTGTAGGATCAGAGAAAAAGAGGAAGACCCCCAGCAAGATGGATTGGCCAAGTAGCAGCATCAGTGGGCTCATGCGTAACAACAATAGTGAGGTTGGCCCAGGATCGGGCAGTGTTTCGTTCTGCTGTGCATAAGGTCACTATGAGTCAGTACTGACTCAATGGCACCTAACAACAACAACAAAGATTTGGTCGTTTCCTTGGGTTGCATGTCATCAATATTATTGATCTTTTGTGCTTTTCTCCTCTGGTTACGAGTTTGTCTTGCATATATATTAAATCACTTTCGTTTCTGCTTTTACAGGAAGGAGAAGCAGATGGAGCATTAAAAGAAATCAAGAATAGTCCTGGTCCCATAAGAACTGACTCCACTGACAGGTAGGTGAAGGTTTAGGGCTGTTGGACTGACAGAGAGGATTGTCTTCTCAACATTGGAAAGTAAACATGGACGAAATTAGTGATTTATACTAGGACTTTTTCAAACTATTAGGCTTGGATGCGATTTAATGGTGCATCCCAAAGTGGCAGAGAATTAAAACCATGCTTGGTGCCTTTTTAGACTCCATAGTGCTCCCCACTTAGTTATAGAGGTGAGAGGTGAGAACATACTTATAATTAGCCAAAAGAAGCTGCTTGCTCTTTTTTTGTTTTTAAATTTTTTTTAATGAGCTCTAGATGAAAGTTTACACAGCTCATTGTTTTCCACTCAAGAAATGATACATAAATCATTCCATGACATTGGTTACAGCCTCTGCAATGTCATTTCCACCCTGGGTTCCCCATTTCTATTTGTCCACTGTCCCTGCCCATTCCTGCTTTCTTATTTTTTTGTTTTGGGGCATATGTTATCCTTTTTGTTTAATGGTCTCTAACAGCCCAGCAAGTCTGGTCTTTTTTTTTTTTTTTTTATGAATTTGAGTTTGGGGTTAATTGTTTCCTTGAGTTTTGGGTTTTCTTCATTCTACATTGCTATGGATGGGAAAAGACCAATAGTTGTATTTTAGGTGTACACTCAAAAGCTCTTAGGACCCCAAGCACATCTCACCAACTAGGAAGTAGAACTGTGTCTCTGTGTACTGTGACATGCCATTCAAGTTGAAAAAGGCAACATTTACCTAAGGACAAAGTTCAGAAGGCTTGGGAAGGAGAGAGGACTGGAAATAAGAACCACAGGGAGGAAGTGGGATCACTGTTACATGGAAGGGATTGCAGTTATTGAGATGAAGCAGTATATGAATTGACAACTGATGATCTGCTCTGTAAACCTTCACTCAATTCCCAATTAAAAAGTGTTTTAAAAAAAATAAATGTAGGTCTTTGATTAATTTTTAGTTAGTAGGTAGCGTAGTGATTATGAATCAGACTGCTAATCTCATGGTCAGCAGTTCGAAACTACCAGCGGTTCCATGGGGGAAAGATGAGGCTTTCTTCTCTCTTAAAGATTTACAGCCTTGGAAACCCTGTACAGGGTCGCTATGATTCAGAACTGACTCCACGGCACATAACAACAACAACATACAGTAAAATAGTGGGTTTTGTTTCATTTTTCACAAATGGTATCTAGTTTTGCCAATGTCATTTGTTAAAGAGAATATCTTTTCCTCATTTGATGGACTTTGACCCTTTGTCCATTGTTGTGGTTGTTAAGTGCCATCAGGACAGTTTCAACTCACAGTAACCCTGTGTAGGGTTTCTGAGGAGTGACTGATGAGTTTGAACTGCCAACCTCATGGCTCAAACTGACCTTGCAGTCCAATGCTTATCCGTCAGCATCACACCAGGACTCAAAGTTTTATCAGCACACGTTGTTATTGTTAAGTGCTGTCAAGTCGGTTTCTACTCATAGTACACTATACAGGGGTTTCTGAGGAGCAGCTAGTGAATTCAAACTGCCAACCTTGTGGTTCAAACTGATCTTGTAGTCCTTTGTTTATCCTACAGTGACACACCAGGACTGTGCTTTGTCCATAGATGGATGGATTTATTTATTGATTTTTTGGTTCTTTCCATAGATGTATATGTTTAAACCACCATGACTGTAGTAAATTCTGAGGTCAGACAATACGAGGAAAACTACTTAATCAAAAGGCCCAAGTCTCCTAAAGTGCTTACCAGTGCTGTTTGACTTAGACCAGCCTGCCCAGCTTAATAGTGAGGCGTTTCCATTTTCTCTTCTCTATGCTTTGCCAATTACAAACCAAAGTCACTAGTAGTGGATAGTTCTCTATAACAATGATTGTCACTGTGCTGAATCACTCTGGGCAGTTCTTGAAAGTGTCCAGATATCTGTGGAGTTTTGAGCTAACCTCTCTTGAGGACATACTAGCAAGCAGACATCTTAACGAGTGCAAAGGGCAGTGGCAGAGGAACCGGGCACCTGCTGTGAAGTCAGTCCCCACTCTGTAGGGTTTTCTTGGTTGTGATCTTTACAGAAGCAGACTTCCAGGTCTTTCTTCCTCTGTGACACTCTTATTGTTGTTGTTAAGTGCCACTGAGTTGGTTTCGACTCACAGCGACCCTGTATAGGGTTTCCGAAGAGGTTAACAGTCTAGTGCATATCCTACTGTTAACAATAGTAATGCCACAACTGCCAACCTTTAGGTTAGTAGTCCAGCACAAACCATTTCTTTATACCACCCAGAGATCTGTACTCACCCAGAATAGGCTCAGCTAATCCTCTGTAAGCAGGTTCCTACTGTATTCTTAGTCCATTTACCTGAGACAGATGGAGTCCTTGTGGGGCACTATAGGATAAGCTCTGGACCGCAAGGTTGGTTTGAACCACAAGGCTGGCAGATCAAACTCACAGCTGCTCCTTGGAAACTCTATACCAGGTCACTATGAGTCAGAACCTGCTCCACAGCACTTAACAACAACAACAAATGACAGTTATCTGAAAATTTCTCTGAGAATCTCTTTCCTCATAGACTTTTTAAACCTCTGTTTTTAACTTGACGGTTGTATATATAGATTGATTTACAAAGCTATGAAAATGAAATGTTTTCTGACTAGTCTCTCAAGCCTCTCCACAGGCAGCTTCAAAATGTTCATGGAAAAATTCCAATATCTTTTCATTCTGTACTGCCACAAACTTTTTGAAGCCTCCTCATATAATGGAGAAAATAAGAAAAATTTCAGATAGGATTTTTTTCATCCAACAGGGCAATTGGCGTAAATGAAAGTTAATTTCCTTTTTTACTTACAACTTCCTTAGCTTTTCCCAAAAGTGTTATTTTAGTATAGGATGACTTAACTAGAAGTGCGAAGAAGGAAATTAGCCCTGTTTGAAATGTTCAAACCACTTCCTCCTAATTTAGGTTCAAATGAAAAGTTCACTTTTTTTAAGCCACACTGCCATCTTTTAGTAAATAATATCTTTTCCCTATTTGTAATAATCATAAGGAATCAGAAATTGATTTCTAGGTTTGGAGTCATGCTTTGGAGTACAGGGACCCAGGCTGTAGTACCGGCCATTCATTAGATCCTTGCCTTCCACGCCAGAGACCCGGGTTTGATTAGCAGCCAGTGTGCCTTTTGTGGAGCCACCGACGATGTGCCAGTGGAGGCGTGCATGTTGCTATGATGATGAACATGATTCAGTAGAGCTTCCAAACTAAGGTAGACTAGGGAAAAATTAGATTGCAAACGTTCAACTGCCAGCCAATCATGGGAATGGTATAGGACAGGGAAGCATTTGATGGCAGCTAACAATGACAACAGCAGTTTACTAGATCTGTGAACGTTACTGGATTACTGAAAAAGTGGCTGCCATGGTGTTGTGGGAGTCTTGGTGTGCCACTGCAGGATAACATGCTGGGACACAAGCTTAGCTTGAGCTGCACAGTTGGCAATTCAAACCCACCAACCGCTTCTTGGGAACCCTGTACAGGGCTGCTGTGAGTCAGAACCAACTAGACAGCACTTAACAACAACATGATGCTGTGGGGTAGGTGTTGAGCTCCTAACTACAAGGTTGGTGGTTTGAACTCAGCAGGTACTCTGATGGAGAAAGATGAGCTGGTCTGCACCCATCAAGATTTACAGTCTTAGAAACCCTATATGTGGTCACTGTGAGTCAGAATCGACTCAGTATCAGTGAGGCTTGTTTTTATTTTGTTTTGCTTTTCATATTAGCATCATTGTAATTATCCTGAATATTTGTTAAGAGTTCAGATAGTGATGGTTTTGTTTGCTATTGAAATCTGCCTTTTTATTAATCAGATGTTGAAATCAAGAAAAATGTTTAGCATACCAACAGTGTCTACAATTCTCTGTTCTGATTATTTAAAACCCAAGCTGTAAGATATTTTCTTTACCTAATAACTTGGTAGTTTTCTGTCATGCTAAAGAAGGTCAAATGTGTGTATGTCCCCAAAGGTAGCTCATGTTCTTGTAGACTGTGTTTCCCTTCAGTGCCCTTTGAGGCTCAGTCTCTCTGTGAGCCCACCATCTGAACTGAAGGCTGTATCTGTTGACCTGCTTCAGTGGATATTGTTGTCAGCTGGGGCATACGCAGTGACCATTTGGAGGAAGTGAGTCCATGTGACCTAAGTGAGGGGGGTGGTCTCTCTGGAGCTTCACTGTAGTTTCCCACACCGTCCTTGGAAAGCACCAAGGACTGTGTCACTGGGGGTCATGGAGCCAGCTGCACTTCTTATACTGTAAATAAGAATTCATTGTAGGGTTCTGTTAGGCAGTTTCTTTGCATTGATTGTAGTCATCCAGGCAGTCCTTGCGTTACGAACAAGATCCCTTCCTAACTCTGTCTGTACTGACAGTTTGTAGGTGAGTCAGAACAGGTTCATTAGCCTTACGTTAGTTGCAAGAAACAGCTCAATGCCTTCTCAGTGTGGCATGTGCAAGTCAAGGTGATTATGAACTTGTTTGAATAGTGGTTGGTTTGGGCCTTTCAAATTAAGGCAAATCTACATAATATTAAAGGGCAAGTAGGAGTTGTCCTTACGTCAGATGTTTGTAACCCAGGGACTGCCTGTATTGGACTCTTCTATTCTTAGACTTGGTCATTCTCATTTTTGGATGGGAATCTTGCAACATTTATACTGAAAGTGACATTGTCTTAATATAGGAGCAAATCTGCAGAAGAAGCCAGGAATTATTTGGAATTTGAGGAATTAACTGTGAGCCAACTCCTGCTTTGTCTAAGAGAAGGAAACCAGAAGGTGGAGAGACTTGAAATTGCGCTCAAGGAAGCCAAAGAAAGGTATGAAATAGATAACTTGAAATAAATATACATTGGTTTTTGTAACAGCTTTATTGAGATATAATTTAGCAAGTCATCCATTTAAAATGTACTATTTAATTTTTATAGACTATACATAGGGTCATACAACTATAACTACAATATAGTTTTAGAAAATTCTTTCCCCACAGAAACTCCTTCTCTCCACTCCTCCCTGCCTCTAGCAAAAGCTGTTCTACTTTCTGTCACAGTAGATTTGCCTATTCTGAATAGTTCATATAAATGCACTCATACAGTCTCTGATCTTCTTTCACTTATAATGCTCTTTTCAAGGTCCACCCATGTTGAAACTTGTACTTCAGTTTTTCATTTCTTTTTGTTGCCTAACACTATTTACGTTGTAGGGGATATATCACATTTTATTTTTGTGTCCATCAGTTGATGAACATTTGGGTTGTGTCTGTTTTATCCTATTATGAATAATGTTACTATGAACATCACTGTCCAAGTTTTTGCATGGAAGCATATTTTCAACTAACAGTGGAATTGCTGGGTCATATGGTAACTCTTTATTTTTTTGAGGAGTTACCAAACTGGTTTCTAAAGCAGCTGCACCATTTTACATTTACACTTGTGTATGAGGGTTCCAAATCTTTGTCAACACTTGTTAGTTTCTATCTTTCATTTAACTACTAGATGTTAAGAGTAACTTATTGCATTCCCCATTAGTGATGTTGAGTGTATTTTCATGTTAGCCATTTGGAGAAATGTGTTTTCAAGTCCTTTGCCCACCTTTTTTTTACTGGATTATGTATTTTTAGTAATTAAGTATAAGAGTGAGTTGTAAGTTCTAAATACAAACAATTTATTAAATATATTATTTGCAGAGTTTCTCCCATTCTGTGGTTGTTTTTTTTTTTTTTTTTTTTTAATTATTATTTGATGGTTTCTTTTCAAGCATAGAATGTTTTCTTTTGATATTGTCCAGTTACCTATATTTTGTTCTGTCATTTGTGATTTTGGTGTCATAGCTAAAAACCATGGCCTTACCCAAGGTCATGAAGAGTTACTTCTGTATTTTCTCCTCAGTTTTGTGATTTGGGCTCTTACATTTCAGTCTGTGATCCGTTTTGAGTTCATTTTTTGTGTAAGGTGTGAGGTAAGAGTCAATTTCATTATTTTGTTTGAGATTATCCTGTACCATTTGTTGAAAAGACTATTTTTTCTCCCGTTGAATTGTCTTGGTTCTCTTGTTGGAAACTGGTGGACCCATAAATGTAAAGGCTTAGACTCTCAATTTGATTCCATTGACCTTTATGTTTATCTTATGCTAATACCATACTGTCTTGATTACTATAGCTTTGCAGTAAGTGAAATTGGGAACTGTGAGTCCTTTGACTCTTTTCTTCCTCTCCAAGATTATTTTGAAATTTTGGGATCCCTCTTTTTCCTATGAAGGGATCTCTATCCAGGGTCCATTTTCCATTTGAGTTTTAGGTCCCACTTGTCAACTTTCACAAAAATGTTTGGGATTTGGATAGGGATTGTGTTGAATCTGTAATAAATTGGGGGAATATTGCCATCATAACAAGTTTAAGCCTTCTGATTTGTAGACATAAGATGTTCATTTTTATTTAGTTCTTTAAATTCGTTCAGTGATGTTTTGTGTGAGGCCTGTACATCTATTTAATGTATTCCCAAGTATTCCGTTCTCTTTTACGCTGTTCCATCCATTTAAATTTAATTTTTTTAATTGTTCATTGCTTGTTTGTGTGATAGTAAGTCAAAAAGTATTGCTACAAAATCATAGTGACCTTTGTTGTTGTTGTTAAGTGCTGTCAAGTCGGCTCAAACCCATAGCGACCCTGTATAGGGTTTCCAAGGAGCATCTGGTGACCTTGAGCCATCGACCTTGCAGTCCAGACTGACCTTGCAGTCCAGCACATTAACGCACAGCACCGTATCTAGACTCTATATAGAGATCACGGGGCCTTATTATGAAGAAACTTTAAGAAAACTGAAAACTGCATTAATAAAGAAAGACCATGAAAGTTGCACTGTGGAATTTTTTTCCTGTCAAGCCAGTGTACCTGCTCATTTTTTGAGAGTAGCAAAAGATGTCTTAGGAGGAGAATTTCATCGGGAAACTTTACCCTATGTACCTTACAGCCCTTATCTTGCCACTTTAGACTTGGTTTCCAGAACATCTAAAAGGAGCTCAATTTGAATCCCTCAAGAATTCCATATGTAACTAATTCTTTGATATGGTGTAAATGGAAGAGCACAGAATTCTTCAGGGAAAGGTTAGAGAGATGGAAATACTGCCTTCGGAAGTATAAAGACCTAAATAGAGGGTACGTTGAGACACAATAGTCATTTTTGACATGCCCTTGTAGAAGTACAATTGAATTTCACATATTGATTTTGTGTTTTGCAACTTCATTGCTCATGTTATCAGTCCTAATAGTTTCGTCACACTCATCTGTCAGTTTGTTGTATTATGCTATCCCGCAGGTTGCTGAGATGCTGGGACTTTTGCAACAGGTATTTTAAATACCAGCAGAGTCACCCATTTTGGACAGATTTAAGTGGAGCTTCCTGACTAAAAACAGAGTAGGAAGAAGGAATCAGTGATTGACTTCTGAGGGATTAGCCACTAAAAATCTTATGAGTTGCAATGAAATACTATCTGATGTAGTGCCTAAAGATGAGCCACTCAGTTGGAAAACACTTAAAATACAAGTCTCCTCAAAGTAAGAGCTGTCTCCTCTAAGTAAAGTAGACCTTAATGATGTGAATGGAGCAAAACTTTCAGGATTTCATTAGCTGATGGGACGTAATTCAGATTGAAAAGAAACCATTGCAAATATCCATTAATAATAAAAGCATGGAATATATAAAGCAATAATATAGGAAAATTGAAAGTTCTCAGAAGAAAAATGGAATACAAAGTGATTGATATGTTAGACATTAGTGAATTGAAATTGATTGGTATTGGCCATCTGGAATCAAACAGATACATGATTTACTGTGCTGGGAGTGACAAATTGTAGGGGAATTTGTCACTCCCGGCACAGTAAAATAGTACACCCATTGTCAAAAAGAATATTTTAAGATCTATCTTGAAGTGCAATGCTATATGGGATATGATGATATCAGGGTGCCTACAAGGAAGATCACCAGTTAATGCAACTATTATTCAGATTTATAAACTGACCACTAAAACCAATGATGAAGAAATTGAAGAATTCTGCAAACTTCTGAAGTCTGAAATTGATCAAACATGTAATCAAGATGCGTTGATAATTACTGGTGATTGGAATGCAGAAGTTGAAAACCAAAAGGTAGGATCGGTAGTTGGAAAAATGACCTTATTAATAGAAATAGTGCTGGATATTGCATGGTAGAATTTTGTAAGACCAATAAGTTCATTGCAAATACTTTTTTTCAATAACATAAATGGTGAGTATACATGGGACCTCACCAGATGTATCACACAGGAATCAGATTGACTACATTGGCCAAAACAAGGCCAGAGCACAACTATGTAGCAGACCATCAACTGCTGACATGTAAGTTCAGGTTGAAGCTGACAAAAATTAAAACAAATGCACAAGAGTCAAGATACAAACTTGAAGATATTCCATTTGAATTTAGAGACCATCTCAAGAACAGATTTGAAGAACTGAACAGCAATGGCTGAAGACAAGAGGAGTTGTGGAATAACATCAAGAACCTTGTACTTTAAGAAAGCAAAAGGTCGTTAAAAAGACCAAAGTGGTTATCAAAGGAGACTGAAACTTGCTCTTAAATGTAGAGTGGCTAAAGCAAATGGAAGAAATGATAAAGAGCTAATCAGCTTGAGGGGGAGAGAAAGAAATAGAAACATCACCATAGAAAGCTTGTAAGTCCATCTTCAGCCTATAACTGATTGTTGTTGTTGTTGTTAAGTGCCATAGAGTCGATTCCGACCCATAGTGACCCTGTATAGGGTTCCCAAGGAGCAGCTGGTGAGCTTGAACTGCCCACCTTGCAGTTCAAACAGCTTTGCATTCCAGTGCATTAACCCACAGTGCCACACCAGAGCTGATTGGAATACCTAAAATGGGGTTAGTACTTGCCCAGTGAAGGAGATTCCTGCAAAGCCTTTGCACTACACAGACCATAGGTGGAATTCAGATCCCCATCCAGAATTTTCTAAGGTGGGAAATTTCCAATTGAAAGGACAAGTAGACTGGCCTAGAGCTGCTAGAAAAACAGAAGATACTTCTTGAAAGAAAGACCAGCAGGAAAAATCAAAAACAATAATAGCAGTCCGATTGACTACTACAAAAACAAGCAAGTTGTTTGCCAGGGAGCCATCAAAGCAAGTGGTCAGATCCCCTTAGGGCAAAGCCCCTTCCAAGACTGAGACTTAAGGGGAATACACAA